ATGTGACTGGGATAGTTGGATTTCAAATCAGGATTTTGAAAAATGCTTTTCTAGTTAGACTAACGCTCATTTAGAATATTCGTATAGCACAATGTTTTTGCTTTTCCTCCATTTTAGCTTTGTGTTCTATGAGATTAAGACGAATAAATCGACTGAGAGCTGAAGTGAACATTGTCTATATAAGTCAGGGGAGGATTCCGGGGCAAGGCAAACACCCTTACACGAGAGAGATCGAATGAGGCGCTGAATGAGTGAAGACAGACTTTACGCGATTGTTCTTTTGCATGTTCAAAAAAATCATTCCTTTTTAGACTATGAAAAAAATACAAATAAGAATCGACGAAAAACTATGTTTACTAAATCTTCTTTCATAGACACTATAAAATCACACTTTGAAAATAAAAGTTTGAATTTACAATTCTACATATCAAATAAACAAAAAACAAAAAAATTTAAATTTATATATATTTTGCATTTATTATATATACATATATAAATATATAAATATATATATATATATATATATATATATATATATATACAAATATATATATATATATATATATATATATATATATATATATATATATATATATATATATATATATATATACAAATATATATATATATATATATATATATATATATATAAATATATATATATATATATATATATATATCCAAAAGCGTTTCATAGGGTTTGTCCTGCCGACCTTCTTCGCAAGCTTCTGGGTTATGGAATTACAGTTCGATTGTTCGACAATGCAATCGTCCCTGTCGAACTGTACATTGAAGGTCGATTCTCCTGCAGCTCCTATCCCACGAACGTAGGTTTTTCAAAGGCTCTATCCTTGGCCCTACTCTGGTCCTTATCTTCATTAACGATCTTCCTGATGTCATAGATTCCCAAGTAGGCATCTATGCGGACGACACTACTATTTACTCCTGCCACTAAGACAAATCTAGTGTCGCCGACAAAACTAGCGTGGCCGTTAGTCTTGAAAAGGACCTCCAATCGGTTGTGGACTGGGGCAGAAATTGGCTGGTTAACTTTAATGCCTCAAACACAAAGCTGCTCTCTATTTCTCACCAGAGGGAACCATCCCTGCCTCCCATTAGAATGTCTGACGCTCACTTCCACGAAAGCACCTCTTTGCGACTGCTCGGTCTCACATTGTCCGCTGACCTTAGATGGAACGAATACGTTGAGTCAATAGCTTCGTCCACCGCAAGGCAAGTTGGCTCCCCTGTGCCGCGCCAGGAAATTTTTCTCGTCGAGTCGATCCTTCAAATCTACAAATCAACCATTCGCCCTTGCATGGAATATTGCTGCCATATAGGGTCTGGAGCCCCCTTCTAATTGTGTTGAGATGTTGTGACTTTCCCGCGTGTCGGTGTATGAATCAAGACAAACACAGTTGTAGAGGAAAATACTGGTATATTCATAAAAGCAATTAACAATAGAGTGATTAGTAGAACGAAGGTTGGTTAGTACGAAACAATATCCAAAATCTATAGTCCAACGGTATGTACCGGGTAAGCTTATCTGGACTGCTGACTCTTTTCTCTGACGCTCTGTCACTCTCTCTCTTTAGAGCTGACTTATATAAGAGGGACCAGTCCATTACTAGTTAGAAGGTGGGTGCGCCCCAACAAATTGTCTCAAGGTCCTTGATGAAATCCAAAGACGGATATGCAATGTAATTGGCCCTGATCTGGCATCTTGTCTGCAGCCGTTGCCTCTCTAAAAAAATTTTTTACAAATATTTTCACTGTAACTGCTCCGATGAGCTGTGAATGCTGGTTCCCAGACTTCATAAATTTAAGCGTTCAACTAGGTTGTCATCTAAGAATTCTCACCCATTTCACTGTCGAAACTGTTAAATGTAGCCGCCTCTTCTACTCCAATAGATTTGATGTCTGCATTTCTTGCCTGTGGAAATCCCTCTCCATTTCTTGTTTTCCTGATAACTATAATCTCCAACTATTCAAATGTAACGTCAATCAACGTCCCCAGTTAGTTGCCCTGATCTATCACCTAACTTTCTCTTCATCCTTTCCTCTATCATTTCCTCTTTATTCTCGCTCCTACTCTGTTTATTTTTGCATGCTAATGGCTTCCCGCCTTGCTTGGGGTTGAATGCTTACATACATACATATATATATATATATATATATATATATATATATATATATATATAATGATAAAAATGTCTGTGTCGCATTTTTTTCCAATTAAAAGGAAACCACTCTCTAACTTTTAAAAATCTTTTCTTCTTCAATATAAATAAAGGCGAATGTGTCAGTGTGTCAAAATTTTTTCAACTGCTCCCTAGAGGTCGTAGCCTAAATATCATACGAGCTTTTTACGTGATTTTTTTGCGACGAAATTTTTTACGATAACAATTTTTATAACTTGGAAATAAATTTTGTAATAATCGAAATTAAATTTTGGAATAGTCAAAATTTCTTGTGAAATCCAGCGAAAGTCACTCATGAAATAAAAGTAATTGTTTGTACGGAAGGTAAGAGCCTACATACATCAAATTTTCTTTGAATTAAAATAGCGTAGAAGAATTATCATTGAATTTTTTAAAAGGTAAGCCTAAATATTAATGCAATACTTAAATGCGGCGATCAATTTTGAGTTCTTCTGTAGTTTATTGTTGCCTATCCTATACAGCAGTAATATGCCTCCCAAAAAGAATTTTCCGCCAACTGAGGATCAGGTTGCAACCAAAAGAGCTAAGGCTGCAGCGAGGAAAAGAAAGTTCCGTGCAACCCTGATCAAACGGCAATTCTTTAGAACTTCCAATACTGAGAATATGCAAAAAAATTAGGGAAAAATAAACTTCTCAACAAACTGAAGGCCCAATCAAGAGCCTTCCTCAAGATATAACTTATTTGCCGATGATATATATATATATATATATATATATATATATATATATATATATATATATATATATATATTGATACAAATTATTAACCCTTACGCCCTTTTTTTAAATAATTGCTCTAGCCGTTACCATAGTAATTTTAATTTTAATAAAGAATATGTTTAAAAAAACGCGTAAATTTCAAGAATTAATTATTAAAAAAAAATTTCGCTTGAAGATGGAACAGAGCTTGGTACTTTAATTCAATTTAATTCAAATAATTATATTGAAGTTTTCAGCACTTTTTTTGAAACATGAGAACTTTTATGTAGCGATGGAATTTTTTAAATAAATAATTATATTTAGGCTCTACTTTTGTATCGAACACTGTTTTTTTTTTAAATATAATGATAAAAAAAAAAATAATAACAAAAATACCAAAGAACTTTGGATTATTTACGTAACGAGTTCTTTCCTATTTTCTATATATTTTTTACATCCACACATATATGTGTGTGTGTGTGAACACTTTCAATACTATAACCTAATATATGTAATCACAGAATTAAAAAATTTGAATTGAGATTTTTACTGAGGAACACGCCCCTGTAACTGAAAATACTGGATGTGGTTCTGGTAGCAGCCATATTATTAATACGTTATCTTCTTGTGAAAGAAGCTATTTGTAATTCAACAATGTTATTTAACTGAAATACCGAAATGAACAGCTCTTAACACAACTAACAGTAAAAAGATCATTAAAACAATCTGGATATAACATCAGCGCAATAGAAAGTTAATCTATTCTTAATTGGATATTTATGAAGTAGAAGCTTAATTCAACTACAAATAAAACATCAAACACATCACTCATATGATGAACCAGTTAACAAATCTGAGTAAATTCTTAATAACCTTTTGTTTAAGCTGTTTGTATTATGTCATGTAATGGTTTGGGGAAACGAGTATCGATTATGTGCTCGAAAATGGAATAGGCCATTTGAATTCAAATCATATATAAGCTTGATTTTTCTTAACCTCTCATTGCTCTTGCGAAAATAATGTATTCAGTATCCCCTGCTGTCTGCACCATGGATTTTCTTGACCAAGGTTTTGTCATTGTCATGCCACGATGGTTGACAAAAATATGCAGACTATTGACAAAATGTATTTTTTATTGATAGCTAGTAAAACTGTATAGTAAATAGTACACTACAATAAACAGTATAGTACAGTAAACAGTACAGTACAGTAAAACACGGTACAACTCCCCGTAAATTATAGAGATTAGCAGGCCAGGATGAACAAATACCTCATTATTATTATGAATCTTTCAGAATTAGTTTTACTTATTTTTTCATCTCTTAATGGCATAGAGTTAAAACTCGGAGAAATTGAAAATTATCGCCGGATATTAAAAAAATGGCGTAAATCATCTTAAGATGCAACACTGAAATGTAAAGCAGCATTGGGATAGCGAAAGTTGTTTTCCAAAGTATTAAGAAACAAAGAAAACTCTACTTAACTGTTATATCATATCGGTTCTCCTTTGGTAGTGAATACTGGACAGAGATGAAGGAGAGAATCGGAAGCAATAGAAATATGGTTATAGTGAAGAATGATGAAAATATCAAGAATTTTTAGTTTTAAAGAAAATGGAAGGAAAAAGGTGAAGAAAAAAATACTTAATAACAGGAAGAGACCGGTAAAATTTCTAAGGCACAATGAGAAAAGAAGGCTTGGAAATTTTGACAAAACTTTGCACTAATATTGAAAGTAAGAGGGACAGAGGAAAGCAGAGAGCAACCTACCTAACAATCTTGTGTAAATGGTTGACAGAACAGCGATTGGTTGAGATAGCGAAACGGCAAATTTCAGTAAAAGCTACAAGGACCGGAAGTTGTCGAGAGATATTATCATCTAATTCCTGAAGGGACACGTCACATAGAAGAAGAAGAAGAAGAAGAAGAAGAAGAAGAAGAAGAAGAAGAAGAAGAAGAACAACAACAACAACAACAACAACAACAACAAGAAGCTTACGTTTGCTAATTTTATTCGCACTCCAAAAGTAAAGAAACTAATTTGCAATTACAGTTTTTTAATCCTTCCTTATTTCTTATTGGTTCACGTACGATCACCGAAGTTAAGCAATGTCGAGCCTGGCTATTACCTAGATAGGCGACCGCTTGGTAATACTAGGTGCTGTAAGAAATAGAGCGGGTGATTCGAACGACATAAAACTGATGGTTACATCGATGAAAAATTGATATATCTATATATGTTGGTATATTTATAAAAAGGCTGACATCAACATGGCAATTTTCTTTCTTCCTTTAATAAGAATACTAAGAAACTTGTCAGTAATTACGAGGGGATCTTATTAAAAATAAGTAGATAAAACGTTTAAATTATTTAATGCGACATGTTTAATAAAATCATGCTGCCAAAATATATGCAATAAAAATAAAATATATATATATATATATATAGAAGAGAGAGAGAAAGAAAGAAAGAGATAGATAGATAGATAGATAGATAGAAGATGGATGGATAGATAGATAGATAGATAGATAGATAGATAGATAGAGATAGATTTACAAAGAAACTAGAAAAAGGACTACAATTCAGAAGTGGGTTGACAGAAAAAGAGTTAGATTGACATAGAAATTCCCAAATAAATGTAAGAACATAAATAAGAGGATGATAAGAGACAATGAAGGCGTGTGATAGAGAAAAGCAAAGTAGAATTGAAAATAATAAAAAGCGTTGGGGGCTGGGGCGAAGAAGAAAAAACGTGAGACCCAGTAAAATAGGCATAAAAGCATTTTGAGAAAACAAGCAAATATAGATAACTTGATAGATATAAGAGAAGGCGTGACAAAAGAAAAGCTAAAATCTTTTTAAAAAAAAAAAAAAAAAAAAAACCTAAGAAATAAACAAAAGAAATTGAAGGAATACGTTTAAAAAAGAGAAGAAGAAGAAGAAGAAGAAGAAGAAGAAGAAGAAGAAGATGATGATGATGATGATGATGATGATGCAGGAGAAAAATAAGAGATGAAAAAAAAAATGGGAATAGATGGAATTCAAACATCTTTAAGAAAAAAAAACAGAAAAGAAAAGAAACGAAAAGTGAAAGTAAAGCATGTATACAATTCACTTGAGAAAAATGACTGTTCGACGGGGAGCGGGGTGACCTGAAATCGGATTTGGCAGCATGAAAGTTAGAGGAAATATATCATAGTCTTAGGTATTTGTTTTGGAAAAAAAAACAGCAGGAGGTTGTTGTGGAGGTAGGATGAAAACGATTGATTATGTCTGTGTGCACGATTTTGTCTGTGTAGAGTTATTGAAGACAAAAAATATCTTACGTACATAATTGTATTTTATAAATTTCAGACTTTTCTGATCTGTTTGATGTCTCAAATCGCTTGTCAGACAAAAGGCGAATGACTTGTCTTCTCTGCTAAGAAGAACAGTTTTAAACTGATTGAGGTTGTGGGTTGGTCGATCGGTGGGTCGGTTTAAGCCTGAGACATAGCACAAATATGATGTGAAAGTAGACATCAAACTAAAAAGACAAAAAAATAATGAATAAAAATAAATTAAGCCCTCCTAAAAAGTAAAGAGGGTGGCAAGAAAAGGGCCAAGGATGTATTCTCTTGTCATTTTTGCCTACAAAATAAAATAAAAATCCGAACATTGAAGTCATTTTTATGAAAGAATTTCTAAACAAATAAATCAATCTATCAGACAATCTGTCTATCTACATAATGAATATATAGTAAGATATTGAGATACAAATATTGATGTATATAAGAACATATTTTTGAAGTGAAGGAATTCAAGTTTTTTAAAAGTGCTTTTTACCATAAATTATATATTTGCCGAATCAAAGAGACTACGCAAGCGCGCATGTGTATGCACGAGCGTTTGAAAATGTTATTCAACTACCTAGAAAATGATTTTACTGACATTTTCATCAAAACCACTCCTTCATATTTTCATAAATATATATATATATATATATATATATATATATATATATATATATATATATAGATTGAGGAATCGCAGAGCCGAGTTCGAATTCCAGTCGAATCCATTACATTCACTTAAGTGCTAATATCCTTGGGAAAGGTGTGTATCCTCTTCATCTCCCTCCAGCTATGGGTAAAATAGCAGGACAGACTGGGTTCTATAGCCTTGGATGGCAACTGGTCTAGGAGAAGGACAACTCTGAATTCAAAACCTGCGGAGGGTCGTTTGGGAACCTTGTGGCATGCATTCGGTGCACCAGGTTTCTGTATTCGTCCTTCAAAAAGTGTGGCTGGTCCTGCACAAGGCCTTCACCACTATAATCAAATCTCATGTGCCGGTGTCGGGATGTCGGTTTCCTGGGGACTTATCGGCCTGACCCGCATACGACGAACGCGACAGGAGAGTCGATATATATATATATATGTGTGTGTGTGTGTGATTATTTTTAATGCCATGTTTTTAAGATGTTGCGGATCATGGCTCTCCCAAGTTCCTTTTCGAATTGTTATTCATTCTTGTTCAAGTTGCTGGAGGTTTTTCCTTTGCTTTCTTTTTGGCACTAATATTCAATGTTGTACATTTATACACTGTCTGCCAACCAAAGCTTCAGAACCAAAAACCTGCTGCTTAACGTGGCGTGGGAGTAGAAATGGATTCTTTCACATTGGATATGGTGATAAATTAAACGCAACAGAACTTGAACTCTGCTCTCCGATTCTACTTTTCCCGCCGATAACGTTTACGCTAATCGTAGACTATTTGCGGAAAGCCCTTCTGAAAAAAAAAAGTCATAACTTAATTTTGTTAGTGGCATGATTGATATCTATGAACCCATTGTAGCAGAGTTTGGAACCACGCTTATTTCTGTCAATAATTTCCATGTAAGAAGGCGTCAAAATTATATTTCACTAATAAATTACTTTTTTAAGGCCTGAAAGATGAATTCGCTTCCTGCGGCCGTCAATAAAGTCACAAGAAATAACTTCAAAGGAAATAAAGTCACAGAAAAATAACAATTTTGACTAAGTAAAAAAGCCATAGAAAAAGTCACAACTTAGTTTCGTTAGTGGCATTTTTTTTCCATCCATGAAACCATTGTAGAAGATTTTGGAACCGCGTTTGTTACTGTCAATAATTTCTATTCCAGGAGGCGTCAAATTATTTTCTCTCCAAATCCAAGAATTGTTGATTCACAAGAGCAGTGAGATCTGAGATTTTCACTATTCACGCTGTCTTCCGGGTTAGGTTTAGAGATACGGTAGGGTTATGGTTAACAAGAAAGCCTATTAAAGTAAAGACGCAGAAACAGTGCTGACTTGTCCTGTTTTTTTTTGTTTTTTTGTTTTTGTTTTTTTTCCTGTGACTTTTTATCGGTGACATTTTCCGTGATTTTATTTTCCTATGACTTCTTTACCTGGATTCAAAATTATCAGTGTTCATTGTTTTTTTTTATGGTCTTTAAACACTACAAACCGATTTTATATTTCTCCAAAGGATAGTTTATTTTGTAACATATAATTAATTTTTTCTTACCTTCTTGACTTCGTATACAAGATATATTGATTGAAAATGCAAATATATCACATTTGTCACGATTTCACACCATGTGCATACATCACATTGTAATATTTTAACACATAATACGGCGCGTACCTTTCCTGTTTCATATATAGATAAATATAAACAATGTTGATATATAAATCAACAGTGGCCCGCTATATATACGAAAGTAAAGGAAAAAAATTAGCCGTACTTTTCGCTATGACATATCTTTAGTTTTGTCACACTGCTTTCTGCCCATATATGCTTATAGTTGATACTATTGTGGTCACGTGATCGGACTTTGATCACACTAGTTTTTTGGCTGCTGTTAAAGTGTGAACATGGCCGCTCCGCTAACAGTTTTCACCGAGGAACAAAGAGCAGTGATCCGAATCTGCAGAGAAGATGCTACCTCATCGATGATAACTTGCCAGTTCGCTATTACCATCTCTCGAGCTTACTGGATCTTTTCGTCGGTGTTGGAGGATGACGAGATTCCTGATTCGTCTGCCACGTTTGTCTGGCCACTTTTAAACTTCCCGATCCATACATACACGCTTCTACCCGGTAGTGCACGGTCGCTATATTGTCTTAAAAGCCTCCGATGAATTTCAGCTCTTGACGTCACAATTAAATCAGAGAAATCGGGTCACTACTCTTTGTTCCTCCTTGATGAACACTGCTAGCAGATCGGTCATGTTTACACTGTAAGAGCAGCAAGCAAGAAGACTGGCGTGATCAAGCTCAAATTTCGATCATGCGACCACAGTAGTACCAATTATGAGTACGCATGAACAGAAGGCAGTATGACAAACCTAACGATATGGTTATGGCGAGAGTGCGGATAATTTTTGACTTACTCTCGTAGCAGATTTCAAACAATGTAACCGTTGTTGACGCGGCAAGTGGAATTGTGAGCTGAATTCAAATTATGTGCTATCCTGCTAGTGTTCACGTTTGCATAAATACCCTTAGAAAAAGCATGAAGCTATCTCTTCGCTGTCCAGCTAAAGGTTAAATAGCAGGTTAGACGGAGCACTCCAGCCAGAACGACTCGAAGAGAAGGAAAACAGATTGCGAAACCGTACAGAAAGCAACGGGGAAAAAAATCCAACGCCTTTCCCAAGAATGCATAGTAATTCACAGATAACAAAATGGAATCATCGGAGAGCTGTAATCTCATCCCTTTTGAAAGAACATAGCATTAAAAATGTAAATGATTGTAAATGAACATGTATTAAGCAAGCTGCATTGGCAGAATTCAGCTAATGTTTGTTTTAATTATATAATGTAAAAATCTCTTATTCTGTTCTGTATATATGAAAAATAGTTTTGTTGAATATGACTACAAAAATGATTTTTTCAGCTTTTAGTGATATTTACAAGATAAAACTTTAAATCGACGTTCATAATGTTCAAGTCAGGTGGAAAACTTATTAGAAAAAACTACTCCATTTATACTAGACTGTCTCGATTTATTAAGAACTTTCGGTCTAAAGAGATTAATATAAAAAATATTCACGAAGTAAATTATGACCAACATGTATCTTTTTTTCAATTAATTATTGTTATGTGACCTTACCCATAATAACATAATGGACTATTCCATACGTAAGAAATACTGAGCCTCAAGAGGAAGCAGAGAGTTCATGCCGAAATCGGGCGACCGGCTGATCGGCTGATCGGTTGAACTCTCTGCCTTCGGGCGGGGAGGAACCCGAACGAGGCTACGCCGAAGGGCGGAGTCTCTTTCGAGGAGGTAAACCGACCCTGAACCCGTTTATACGGGTTCAAAGGGCATATTTTGGGCCAAACCCACGGGCTCGGAGAGTCCACGTTAAACCAGCCTTGTGCCACATGATGCCCTCGTGGGGTGGGGGGTAACAAAATACCGTTCAATCTGAACTCTGGAGTGAAGTCCGTCAGAGTCTGTCAGTCAGTCAGAGCAGCGAGTCAGTCAGTCGAGTCAGCAGTTCGAAACAGAGTCGCGTTCAGACAATTACTACTAAACCTGATTGTTCGTACTAACACTTTCTACTTCTATGTATATATTCCTGTTTGAAATATATCTGTGTTATTCCATATCCGTATTCGAGTTCTTCTTTATTGGTTCTACCTTGGACTATCAACGTGGTACAAGGAACCGGACCATAACAATTATATATATATATATATATATGATATATATATATATATATATATATATATATATATATTTTAATCAAAACTATACCGGAACCCCCGTGAAAGACGTTGTCAGGTTTTTAATTGTGACTCTTATTAACTTGCCTTTTTCTACCTACATTAATATACGTTTCAAATTCAGCTAATGACAACTGACTATTAAACGATGGAAAATTTTCGCATATTTTGCAGAAATTCTGGATTTATTTTTGTTATGTAAACCAATAATTTATCTTGATAAATGCTATGTGTCAAGAAACACTATATAAAATTTAATATTTTTGTCCATAAATGTATCTTTAAATTTTATTTAGATACATTGTATTTATTTTCAGTTTTCCTAGATGATTTCATTAATTTATATTGCATATGTTTTCATTATTTTAAATTGGTTAGAATAAAATTTGTATTTTATATGACTTCTACCTTAAAAAAATTTGGGATGTGTAGAGTGTGTGTTCCCTTATTATTAATTCGGGTTCATGTATCAAAAGATTTGGTGTTGGCTTCACGGAATACTTTTATTGCCCTATTATATATATATATATATAGATATATATATATATATATATATATATATATATATATATATATATAATGATAAAATATAATTTTTTTATGTACATATTTATGGGTAAAAGTGCTCAATATCAGGGATAGAAATATTTAAATATAAAAAGCTTCAACAATGAAAAACACCAGAGGTGACAGTCTGTTTCATGCTAAACGCAAATCGTCAGGCCATGTGTTTTTTTATCTTAGCTCGTCTTCTTATATAGACAGATTAGTGATGCCTCAATTAAACTTTCCGTCAACTCTTCCAATGAAACCATATTCACCGATGGTAAGAAAAGACTATGAAACTGCCCTAAAAGATAGTGGATTCCGGCAACATCATATATACCTACCAGACAGTATAAAAAATGCCTACAGGAGAGAGAAACACCTAACGTACTGAGAACAAATACGTATAGTAATGTTTCAGAGACTATACTAAATTATTTATAATATACTCTTCTTCGAATAAATTTCTTTCTGCATCAAAACCTGGCATTCGGATGAGCGGCAAAACTAAAAAAAAAAAAAAATCGCTTTCTGCATAGTGGGGGGTCTCCGAGATACCAGGGGACCATAAAAAACACAATATTCAGATTCGTTTGAATCACAAATACTACCTAAAGCCATTGTAAAATAAATTCCAAAAAGACAAACTTGAACATCTTCCAACACACATCAAAGACATATGTTAACGTACGATCATAAGATAAGCAATGACAATACCTATATAAATATTTAGATGAATGACCGCTTGGGAATGTGTGGTTATATGCAGGTAAAAACAGCACTAGACTTTAGACTTCATCTGAATTTAACATGTCAAATTCAGAAAATATAAAAAAATTTATTTAAAGGAAGAAAGAATGTGAACCATGAAATCCCAAATGTATTGGAAAAAAAAATATTCTTTCTGTTATGGGATCTTACCCATAATAATAATAAATACTATTCCATAGTTAATAAATACTTCGCATCAGGAGTAGGCAAAGAGTCAGTCTTGAACGACAGGTCGGTTGAACTCTCTGCCTTCGGCCGGGGAGGAAGCCGAACGAGGCTACGCCGAGGGCGGAGTCTCGTTCAGGGGAGGTAAACCGGCCCTGAAGCCCGTTTATACGGGTTCAATGGGCATATTTTTTGGGCCGAGTCCACGGGCTCGGACAGCTCACGTTAAAAAAGGCACTGTGCCACATAACGCCCTCGTGGGGTGGGGTGACTGAATATTGTCAGTAGTTCGAAGTCAGTAGTTCAAGTCAAGATTCGAGTCAGAGTCAGTCGAAACACAGAGTCACGTTCAGACAA